TCGGTGGGAATTGAAATGCGTTTTGTTGATATATTAAATTATGAAATCCAAAGCAGGCAACTGTATGCTTTTCCTGCGGCTGATGTTGCCATTGTGGACTTGTTACATGCAGTAATAAAGAAGGCAACAGTTGCGAGGAAAATGTATACGCATGCAGGCTGGAATGCTAACTAATACTAACCCATTGCGGCATCAATCTAACTATTTTAGCAGCTTGGCTAGCCACGGGCTGCGCGATTGCTGCCAAGTCCTTGTGGTGCTTACTGCGGGTCTAAATATGCACTCATGAAATATGAAGTAGATCGCCCACGTTGACAGTTACTGTAGCTTCGACAATTACGCTTAGGGGTCTCAGCCGCTGTCATAGATAGCATTGATGTCAAATATGTAAAAAGGGTCTTTAGTGTGTAGAACCTCTGCAGCCTCGACACCACGGTAGCAGAAGGTGCTCCGGTGGTGGAAAGAGTGGTTACCGCAGCGACTGAGAAAGCGGGAGTGAGGCTCTACGCTTTCAGGGGAGGCTGACTCAGCCTGTGCATTAGCACTGGTCCCTTCACTTGACGCTTGCGATCTTCTACTTCTTCGCATCGTAGGTTGAGTAGCTTCAGCGTCGCTTGGAGCACTAACACGGCTCTGTTGACAAAGACAAGGGTTCGGTGACCGGCGCTCAACTGCACGGCTTCTTTTATGAGCCATAACCGCTGGACTTTTCAGTGCGTATTGATAAGGTCTACCAAAACCCTAATAGAGAAGGAAGTAAAGAAAAAGAAACTACTGCTTTTGCTTAAGTATACGCTTCTTGTCGATCTGGATGAAGTGGTCGAGAGTTCCTTCCAGAATAGTCTGCGTCTGGCTCATGCGGAGTTTCAGCAGTTCCGCCGTATGATGCAAGACATTCCTAGCGTCGGAGTCCTTGCAGTCTGGGTTTCGTTCCGGATGAGTTGAACGATCTTCAGCTACTTGTGCGTGGTCAACCACAAGTCCTGTCGCAGTTTGTCGAGCGTTTCACTGCGG